CCCCCCCCCCCCCCCCCAGCCTCTCCCTGGCAGAACTGGAAGTGGACCAGAAGTGCTTCTGGTTCAATTCTGGATCTGCTGCTGAGCGTGCTGGGGAGCCCCCGCATTTCTGTGGGACGCTTCATCCACCCCACCATCTCAGCATTCATGAGCTGCCTGCTACCTAGAGGTATGTAGAAAAAACATTTAAAGCTGCATCTATGTCGAAATCTCTGAATCTCGCCAAATCTCTCCAAACTAATTTGACGGGTTCCAATTCGATTTGGAGAGATTAAAGGGTCCTCTGATTCGATTCGGATTCAGAGATTCAGCCACCTAATCAGGCCGAATCTCTGCCCAACAGAATCAGGTACTGAAGCTTCGCACAGCCCTAATCCTCAGTAATACCCTGTACTCCTCATTCATGCAGGTACAGGTAGTGACCTAGTCAATAATCCCAGTTAGGGGTAAAGACCCAGGCAAGGACAGGGAGATTATGGAGAGGAAAATGTGGCTCTGTAGATGGTGTCAACAGAAGGGTTTCAGCTTTCTCAGGTATGGAAAAATATTCTGCAAAAGACATGGGGTGCATCTAACAAAGGAAAGGAAAGGCATTTGTGGATACCAACTAAAAAACCTAATGAAGAGCATTTAAACTAGACTGGATAATAAAACCAGAGGTATGCAATAAATAATGATCTATTCTAGACATAGTGCTGAAATCTGGGAGGAAAATAGAAAACTGCAATAGGGCCCTAACTGAAACTGGACTGAGAATAATGAAAGAATGCGCTGAGCATTAGACATGTCTGAACATACATTCTGGGAGTATGAGGAACAAACAGGAAGAACTAGAGGTCTTAGTACACAAGCAAAACTATGACATACTTGGTATCAGAGAACACAGGACCAGTATGTTGGTACAGAAGGCAACTGGGAAGCAAGGTCTCCTGGGGAGATAATGCAAGGGATAAAGTACAGAAAAGCTGGCAGTTACTGAAAGAGACTATTTCAAATGCACAATGGCAAACTATTCCAATGCAAAGGCAAGATAGCAAGCATAATACAACACCACTATGGCCTTATCACAAACTCTTCAGTGTCCTGAAAATACAAAAGGAATCACACAAAACATAAACAAGGGCATATAAGTAAGGATGACTATCAAGAAAGAGCATAAGCATATGGAATAAAATCAGAAAAGCTGAAATATAAAATGAGTTTCAGTTAGCAGGGGATATAAAAAGCAACATAAGGGGCACATCTACTTGTTGCCTTACAGTGGCATTTTTTACTGCACCATGCTTTGGTACTTTCTTTTGGAAGTACTAAAACACAGTGCAGTGACTGCCTATTCTTCACTGTAGCAACATGCTATAATTAGGGAGCATGCCGCTACAGCGAAGTAGCAGCTGGTCAGGTGCAGACTCATGTGATTGCTATGTCACCATAGCACATCACTACAGCAATGTAGCATGTAGCTACAGCGACGTAGCATGATGTGTAGACATGCCCAGAGGTCCTATAAACATATCTATAATAGATATCAGTATCCTCCTGCTATAAATGTAGCAAACGTAAGATGAAAACAAATGGGAGAAAAGGTCCATTACTAATAGGAAAGGTGACCAAATGCTGCAGAAATGCCTGGAGTATTCAGTGTTGCCTTTCCACCAGCCTTCTCAAGAAAAGGACAACTGTGACAGATAAATTAACTTAGCAAAGAGACAGGTGTGCAGACCAGAATATAGTTAAAGTCAGAAGAACCCTTCCCCCTCCTCCTGTCCTGTAGAATCTCTCCTATATGCAGACAGGTACACAGCTGGTTGAAGAAAAACTCTCAGAGTAGTTATCAGTGGTTTCCTGAGCACCTGGGAAGACATCTCAGATGGGGTTTCACAGTGGTTTGTCCTAGATCAGTTTTAGTCAATATTTTTATTAATGGTTCATGAATAACATCAAGAAGGAGCTGCAAGTACTTTGGAAGACAGGAGTAGAATTCAAAATGATCTTGACAAATTGGAGAGATGGTCTGAAATCAACAAGACAAAATTCAATAATGACAAGTGCAAAGTGTTACATTTAGGAAGGAGAAGTTAAATGAAAAGTACAAAATAGAGAATAACTGATTAAGCCACAAAACAGCAATACAGTCAATCATTATCTGGGGATTGTGGCTGTATCATAAACTAAATGAGAGTCAGCAATACAATGCTGTTACAAAAAAGACAAATCTCACTTTGAGAGGAATTTACTGGAAAATGATATGTAGGACACAGGTGGTAATTATTCTGCTCTAGTCAGTGCTGACAAAGTCTCAATTGGAACACTGCATCCAGTTTTATTGACCACACTTTAAAACAGATGCGGACACGCTGGGTAGAGTGCAGGGAAGTGTGAAAAGACTGAAAAGAATTTTAGAGAATCTGGCCTCTGTGGCAAGGTTGAAGAAATTAGGTTATTTACTTCAGAAAAGAGAAGACTAATGTGTGAACATGATAGTCTTCCAGTACATGAAGGTTGCTATAAATGGAATGATAATCAATCATCTTTCATTTGGAGGAGAACAAGAAAAAACTTGGTTAAGTTGTAAGGATGATGACATGGGTTGCATATCAGGCAGAGTTCCAACCACGAGTCTGATGGAACACTGGAATAGATCCCTAGGGACATGGCGAAGGTTCATTAGAGGTTTTTAAGAACAGGTTTGACAATGTTTCAAGGGGACATTCTAGGTACACTTGATCCTGCCTTAGTGTAGGGGGATGGACTACCTGTCCTCCATATCTATGGTTGCCTAATCTTCATCTTCTAGAGATAGAGCCCAGGTCCTAGAGAACAGACAGGAATTCATTCCTGATTTGAGGTCCCAGAATTTGACACACAACACAATCAGCACTGCTGTTATATGCTATTTCTGAGCTA